TTTAGAAGAGGTCGCTCATCTCGTGAAAGTATCTGCCAATTACAAAATGACATCCAAAATTGTCTAGTAAAAAATCAAACTATGGTGTCTGTATTCTTTGATGTTGCGGGAGCTTTTAACAGTGTCAATGTTGATGTGCTTTCTAATGAGTTAACTTCAGTGGGTATACCACCAAAACTTGTTCATTGGATCCAAAAGTTCTTGTCTGAAAGAACTTTTTGTTAAGAATAATGGTTACCTATATGGCCCACGGTTGGCTTCTGTTGGTGTCTGTCAGGGAGGAATTTTATCTCCTCTTGTTTTTATATTATATATCCGACGTCTCAACTTAATTCTGGGTGCACATGTCAAAAATTTACAGTTTGCTGATGACTTAGTAGTATATGCTTCCGATCATAATATTACAAAGGACAATGGCGAAATATTGGTTGAAGTATATCTTTAGCGTCTATAGGTGTCATTATCAGAAATGTTAATAAAATAATCTCGAAAGATTTATTAAACAATTCAGGAGGGTTGTCTAAGTCTGGAATTTAAAACTTTAAAAAGGGAAACACAATTGACTATTTATTTTTTATACTTTATTATTGCTGTGGTAATTTTCAAATTGTTAAGTACTTCTCACAGCACAGACATTGTATTCGAACTAAATATCCCTGGTCTTTTTAGTATTATTAAGTATTTTGACGCGGTTGGTCAGTAAGTACCTACGCCTACTGATTCTTCATTAATCGACGGGAACCGTATACTTTTATAGTTCCGTTCACGTATTTTTTATTTTGATATAATAATACTTTTGAAAATACTTTCATAATTCGTTTTTGTATTACTTAGTATGACATAACCTCTAAAACTTCATAGTAAAATATCTATAAATCCAGACTTCCTATAATAATAGAAATAAGACGAATCAAATCGAGAATCCAAACTCTATAATTTAAGATGCAATTCATTCATAGACGCAAAAAAAAATTAACAAAAATTTGTATGGGAGTTCGCCATTGTCCTTTAGTAAATAAAATTAATAGTGCCTTATTTAATCTTAATCAATATTTTACATACTTAAATCTTGATATTAATCCATTAAAATCAAAACTGCTTGTATTTGGGAAAAAAAGATCTTTGATGCCTACTGTTTACTATTATAACAATGTTGCTATTCCAGTTTCATTAGACACAAAGTTTTTGGGTGTTTTAATAACTCACAACTTATCTTGGAAAAAATATATTGAACACATAACAACTAGGGCTAACAAAGCTTTAAACTTATTAAAATCTTTAGTTTCTACATATTGGGGAGCTGATCCTAAGAGCTTGTTGTTACTGTATAAGTCTTTGATTCGCAGCCATTTTGAGTATCCTATTTTTTATTTTGCTCACGACAGCAAAATTGTAGACATCCTAGACAAAATTCAAAATGTATGCGTTTGATAACTGGTGCTTTCAAAAGCACTCCCATTAATGTTATGCAAATTGAGTGTAATCTTTCTCCCATTTCAATAAGATTTAGTTACTTAAAGGAAAAATTCCTTTTGAAGTTATTCTCAATAAACAATAATCAACTTTTTAAAATATTTCATATTTATCGCAATCACTGGCAGGTAGGCCTTTGTATATCATGCAAGGATTTCCTCAGTTCACCCAGTTTCTCGAAAATTCCAACATTTATAAGCCTTCAATCTTACCATGCTATGAAGGGCATTTTGAGAGCAAATTTCCATCAATTGACATTAATATCTACAAGGAGTTTTCTACTAAAGAGGAGGTGTTTGGTGAACTATCAAATTGGGTTGATCATAAACATATTTATACAGATGACTCAAAAAATGATTCAAGTGCATCTTTTTCTTTTTACGTTAGCTCTATAAAATGTGGTTTAGGTTACAAGATAGACCAAATTCCTCTGTATTCACTGCAGAAGCTCTAGCAATTTTGGCTGCTCTGAAACACATAAAACACCAAAATCAAGGACATAAAAAACATTGGTGTAACAGGTAATGAAAATGCAGATTATCTAGCAAAATCTATCAATACTCTAGCCACTAAAACCAATACTCAGTCGTCTATACCTTATACAGATTTGATCGTTCTGCTAAAGGAAAGAATGCACCAAGAGTGGCGAGCCCATTGGAATTATATAGCTGCACTATATAATTCCAATTTCTCAAAAGTAAAGGTCTAGTGTACACACCTCTTTATGTTGATGTAAACAAATTGCCATGGTTCTGCAAATCAAATAGCTTTTTGAATAGAAAATTCTATACGATGATTTTTCGCTTAACGTTTGGTCATTGTCGGCTTAATTTCCATCTCTTTCGGTTGCAAATGGTGAATAATGCTCAATGTACTCATTGCAATTCCCAAGAAGAAACCTTAGCTCACATTTTCTTTGACTGTCCATCCTTCGGCATTCAGCGCCTTGTGTTGTTGGATGAGCTAATCGAAATTTATGGCAAACATGATTTGGTCCCGCGTTCCTTGACCGATCTTCTTGTAAATAATTGTACATACGATCCTCTGTATAATTTCATTGAAAACACTGTTGAAGAAATATAAACATTCTGTAATATTGTTATGTATTAGATTTTAAGGTTAAATGTTCAGCATACACAGAACACTCAGTTAAGTTTAATACTTAGGTACCGCATGTTCTCTTTCTTTTATTTGTTTGAAAAAAATGTTTATTTTCGTAATTTTGCTTGTAGGTATTTTTCGTTTATAGGTCGTTGGTTTGAAACAAGTTTGAAACGTATCAAATGTCGTTTTTTTAGATTTGTTTTTTCTTTTCATATGTTTTGTATTAGGATTAGGGTATTGCATGGTATTGGTCTATGATTTATTTTTTGTGTAAATGTGTACTATAAAAAGATTTTAAATAAATATGAAATTAATTCATGATTGGACTGTCTACTATGAGAAAAAATTTAATGTTTGGTGTTTAAGATGTTCAATGTGCTCGGGAAAAAAGCACATAATAATAGAGTAAAACAAAAAACTAGAAAATATACCGGAAATTATCAAACTGAGGAAGTTATATTGAATTTTAATAATAAAAAGAAGAAAAATAACTAATTACGAGGCAGTATGGTCCCAGACCTTAGCCTGTCCGCAGTGCTGCCATTTTAACGCTTTGCGCGCTAGATCTAGCGCTTTTCTGGTGTGGTTAGCGCCTATTTCAAAATTTTAGCGCCTAGCGGATAATCTGGCACTTTTTCATTTATGTCATTGTAGCATTCTATTACCGATAATTTATGGTCTTGGGAAACCCCTCATTTATTTTTTTATAGCAGAACTACACTTATCTGTCGTTTTGTGTTGTGACGCGTCAGAGAGGTATCGGTTTCATATATTAAGTACGGTTAGAACTATACTTGTGTGTCGCAATGTTTCGACACCGTTCTCACTCTAACCGTACTACTAAATGTATGAAACCAATATGACCGTGTGATTCGTCACTACACAACACGATGGATAAGTAGTAATATTGCTGCCATTAGTTCATGGTTTTGTTTTCATTCATTCATGTTTAAAGGACAGTGGCGAAATATTTGTTGAAGTAAATATTTAGCGTCTATACATGTCATTACCAGAAATGTTAATAAAATAATCTCAAAAGATTTATTAAACAATTCAGGAGGGTTGTCTAAGTCTGGAATTAAAAACTTAAAAAAGGGAAACACAATTGACTATTTATTTTTTATTTTTATTGGGGCTTGGCATCATGGCTTTTGAGCCATTTATTTTAAGTGATTTTAGTGATGAAATCAACTTTAAATATGTTGTTCGTATGTTTTGCATCGCTTTACGCTTAAACTGTATTTAATTCAATCAAAAATATCGGGATACATTATTTTTCAATATTATTCTGAAACCATAATAAATAATCTCCACAATACAAAAAGAGTATGGCGACAATTCTGACGAAAAAAACTATAACTGTCACTGTCATGCTTGTCATCGAATTGTTGTTGTTATTGTTCCCTTATACTTATGTTACTCTTTGTTGTTAACATTATCGTTGCTTGTGCTAAGTGCATGCGTGTTGCAACAATTTAAATCGGCGCATTCTGTTTTTTTCTGTGATTTGTGTTTTTATGTGACTTGGACTGCATTTGGACTCTCAAAATCTTCCCTGCGACTGTTGAGTAGTGCTTGCCTAAGACTTCCTAATCTGATATTTCGGATGACTTCTTGCTGTGGATTTTGGACTCGATTGGGTCCCATACTGTGGATTTTATTTCATTGTATCTACTATCTACGATATTGTGATCAAAGATATGGAATAAAAAATATATAAAAAAATGTTTCATATTTAATTAATATCCCATTAGAAATCCTTTTTTATACTTTATTATTGCTGTGGTCTTTTCCAAATTGTTAAGTACTTCTTACAGTACAGACATTGTATGCGAACTAAATAACCGTGGTCTGTTTAGTATTATTAAGTATTTTGACACGGTTGGTCAGTACCTACGCCCACTGTTACGTTTTTATTAAATAAAAAAACTGAAATAAATTTATCGCATAATCTAGCGCTTTTTGAAGCGCGTTTTTCTTGAAATCCAGCGCATTTTATATCGTTATAGCGCTCAGGCGGATTTTTGATCTGCCAGCCCTGCCTGTCCGAAAGGACAATGAGTTTTTTGGCGGGATTTCATCGAGTGTGGTTGGCGTCTTATTTTAATTATTCTTAAATTCGTTCATAGTGGATATTGTGAAATAAAATTGGTGTGATTTTGTGTTACAACTGTCTGCGTAACTGAAGAATTAGTAGAATCGTCAAAATATACGCTATTCCGGTCAAGTGAACGTGAGAATTTTATTGTAGTGTTGACTACCTCACATAAGCTTATCGAAAAAGCCAACTCGATACATTTCGTGCCAAACACTCCAAGAAACATTAGAATGCGTCACACCGACATTCTAATGTAAAAACAAAAAGAACATTCATTTAATTAAAGATCAGGCTGTATAGGCATTGTTCCCTTTGCCTTCTCTATAACGGGAGAACTTCAACAAAAAAAAAGAAAAAAAAATTATTTCAAATAACATTTTTCAAGTTTCAGCAGAAAATTCAGGATTCTCAGTTCAGCACCGTTAAAATGAATCTTAATGACAAAAAATATCAGCCCCAATAAGCGATAGCTTCATAGCATAGAGTGATGGGATAATTTCATTGTGTTTTATAGATAAAATGAGCTTACAAGATAGAGTAAAACCAATTCTCAAATTCATGAAAATCTTTAGCTTATGTAGTGGTAGTGGTTTATTTGTTGCGTACCACATACGCCAAACCTGTAAATCTATGTCAAGCATAGTAAACTCAAACGTACTGGACAGAGAAAGAAAACACACTCCGGAATATATTTATATCGATGACCCTTCATACGGCGCTACAGTTTTATTAGAGCAGGATAGAGAGAACAAACAGTCAGTTGGTTTAGCTCGGATCTGGAAGAGCCTGAAGCATTCTTTGGCTTGGCGCCTACTCTGGTTGTGCAGACACGGAAATAAAGAACAAAGGAATATAGCTTTAGAACAATTAGCAGCATTCAAAAATAATAAGATCTGGGATTGCTTGAAACTCGCCCAAGCATTAGACAAAAATACAGCTGTCCTTTTGGCACGGACACAAGGGGCTGATCTAAGATATTTTCTACCTCCACCAATTTATGTACGCCGGGCAGCACTTACTCCAGAATTATTCTCATTCAAACTCAAGGATATGATATCAACAGTTCAAATGATTAATCCTCATAGTTGTATACAACATTTTCTTTCAAAACATTTTCTGAATGTTCAAGAACAAGCCATGGAAGCAGACAGTGTTCCCACTAAACCACACAGTATTAGTGAGCGTGATCTTTGTATTTTATGCCTCGATGCCCTTCATCATCATGTAAGTTTATTTCATTGTAAAAACTATGAAGAAGACATTTCTGCAAAGGCATTGATCTCTACAGGCCTATTGCCAAAGCTGGCAGAGCTACTGCTGCGATATCAATATGATGCAGATATAGATTTAGCTGTCCTTAGAATTCTTACTGTTTTAAGTGTGCATTCAAATTTATTATTTGAATTTTTCCAATGTGGGCTTATCAGAGAACTATCACGCCTTTTAAGATCTAATGATGTTCGTCTTTCCAGTTCTGCTGCCGTTTGCTTAGCAAATTTATCTGGAGAGCATTGTTTTAGACCTGGGTTGTATCTTTTGCACCCTCTTTACAGAACAACCACTCCTCATACATGTGATACTCTTTTGGTTCATGGCTTAAGAGGTGGTGTGTTTGTTACTTGGAGACAACGAGACAGAAAATGTGCAGAGCCAATTGGTATTATAGATGTTACGATTTCAGAAGTTGATTGCGAATCATGTGTTAAAGAAACAGATATGAGCTCACAGTATCTAGATCCAGAGTTTAAGCAAGTTGTGGAGGACATTATAGAGATGGAAGATGAGGCACTCTTGTCAGATGTAGAGGTTGTTTTACATGACATACCCGTAGAAGAGAAAAGAGGGCCACCAAATAAAAACAACTACACAACACGGAAGAAGCTTGCTGCATTGAAAGAAGAAAATCATGATAGATGCAATTACACTTATTGCTGGCCTAAGGATTGGTTGCCTAAAGATTGCAATAATTTGAGAATATTGGGAGTAAATTATTGGAGCACATTATCAGAATGGCTGGAACGGTGTCCTTTACAAGCTGCTGACATAGCCACAAGAGCTGCTGATATGGCTCCAGTCCTGATAGATGCTGGCGTAGGCAGTAAACCTGTTGTTTGGCTTGCTCACTCAATGGGTGGGTTAATTGTAAAACAAATGCTTGTTGAAGCATCGCAGAGTAAGGAACCGTTATTCAAGAATCTATCTTCCAACACTAAAGCTATTGTGTTCTACAGTACACCTCACAAAGGTAGTGCATTGGCTACAATGCCACGTGCTGCAGCTGCTGTCTTTTGGCCTTCAAATGATGTGAGACAGCTCCAAGAAAATTCACCTGAATTGCTGGACCTTCATAAATCTTTTATAACTTATGCAGATGTTTTCGGCTGGGAAACAATAAGTTTTGCTGAATCATTGCCTACTCTGGTCACAACATTTAAAGTTCCTATACATTTTGTCGAGTCTATATCTGCTGACTTAGGTAGAGGTGTATTCTATAGACTACCACTGGATCACTTGTGTATTTGTAAACCTGCCACTAGGCAGTCAGTTTTATATACAACAGTATTAGATATATTGCAAAGAGTTGCAATGCAAGATACTGAATTACAGTATTCAAACTCCATTGTGCAATGGTTGATGGATTTGTTTCATCACCTGTTTAATAAAAAGTCCAAACAAATAATAAAAACTTTTGATGAATCAAGAAACTTTGAACGTCTTAGATGGCTTGAAAAAATTTTAATTGAGACATTTACAGATGGTTTTGCAGATTAGTTAAGGATTGTTAAATAATGGTTTTACCCAAAGTGGGAAGTATTCCTTTATTGTTTTTCTCCAATGCAATTCAATGATATTCTTTACTATCATTTTTTATATTGTGAACTTACAATATAAAATTTCGTTTTGTTTTTTTTTTATGATGATTCACATTGTTATAATAGGAACCCTAGAAAAAAAAATGTAATGCAGATCATTTTCATATGATTAACTGAATCCTAAATGGTGCTCTGAATCTCTCACTGTTAAAATAAAAATATATCCAAAAACAATTGTACCTATATGCTTTCATTTCATTGATGTAAGCCTATATGATTCTTAGGTTCACTTGCAGAAATTTTGCTAAATCTCAATTTAACTAAATTAAGATTTAGCCTATACAATAATGTCAAAACATCAATGTCAATTTGAGATTATTGTTTAGTTTATAAGTTAAATTAAGATGAGCAAAATTGCTGCAAGTGGATCAATGTTATGTTGTAAATGTTAATTATTGTTATCATGCAATAATATTTGTTGTATAGCCTGTTACTTTCACCAAACTGTACAGTTTGTAAACATGAGAAAGCATAAATCAATGCTGGCAGTTTCTCTCAATTTCCAGTAGGGATAAGTTGACTTTGTACTCAACATACATATGTATAGGATACATATAATATTATCTGTATCACACAAAACTATTTTGAATAATGTTTATATCACAAGAAAAATACACTGTGCTTGTATCAGAAGTGTATTTTTGAAATTGCCACCGCAGGCCACTTACAATTTGAACCCCCTCCATCCAGTAGAATAAAATTAGTAAATCAAATTAAAATATAGGTCAGTAACTATGCTTTAAATGGCTTCTGCCGCCCCTTGCTGAGTCAATAATTTGTTTAAATTTATAAGATACTTGTTCATATAAACAATAACTAGCAAACCAGTGAACCAAATGTTCACCAAAAAAAAAAATGTATTTAATTAATTGAAAACTTCGGAGATTTTGTGTGGTTTCGTTTGAAATAGAAATCACGTGATTTCTCGAAAACCGGAAGTGCTACGTTACTCACATCCGGTTTGTCGTCTTATCAGACTATTCTCAACTTACAACTTAAACATTCTCTTTATCTATCTCTTACGGTTTGGCCGCTGAAACAGCACCACGGACGGACGGACGGACTTGTCTAATAGATAAGAGATGTAGAAACTGGAGGGCTGTCTACTGTTATGCCTAAAACGTCTTTTGTTTCTTTTGTGCAATAGGTAAGTAACAAATGCATTACAAGTGAATATGATCTCATATGTCTGCATTGGCCTGCTCAGTGGCATTGGCAACATGACGTTTGCGCCTTATAAAATTTATCAATTTTTACATAATAATAATTTCTTCCATACTTTTCCTCTCCGTGTGTATGTAATTAAACTCCTCCTAAACGGCTGATCCAATTTATATAAGCTTCATGTTTGCATTTGAGCGTTTTCCCTGAATGGTATCGTATCACAACTAGACTATGGATCGCGCTGTACTTAGGCAGGGCAACCTCCATTGGGAAAATCATTTAGAAATTTTAACAATAGGTACTGTAGCAACAACATATTTACATGAAAAGGGACAATTGGACACTGATTAAGTTTTTGCTCTGTCCGTCCCCTTAATTTAGAGTTGTTTCGTTACCTGATTCATTATATTTAACTTATTAAGTTAATATATAGTCAGGAAAGTATTAATAAAGATTTTTAATGTCGGAGAATTTTCTTAAATAAAAAAAAAATAAGTAAGCAGGTAGGTAATAAAATTATCAGTAGGTTTACTACTAGATTTTTATAATTAATTTATTGAAATCACTTAATTGTAGTCGTAATCAAATTACTTTCATCTTGTTTAATTTTTTCGTAAGGTTTCTATTATTTTAAAGTGTAAGTAATATTATTATGACAACGAAATATTTAAAGAAATTAAAAGCCACCAACAAAGTTATACATCACAAGCGACATCTATGGAGGAACGTAATAACGATTTCAATCAAACGCAGATTGTGAAGCAAGCCCATGCCCGTGACAAGAATAGCCTTCGCTTGAAACGTGGTTTGAGGTGTTGTAATTCACAGATCAGAGATGTCTCTGCAAGTAAGGTTTAGAAAAGAAAAATATTCGGAACGGGATGAAACCCCTAACAAAAAAGAGGAAAAATAAATTACGGGCAAGTTGAAGTCGGGAATGGGGTCACGACCTTTTGAGGGGGGATATGGTTAATCGCGAAATTCGGGAAAACGAAAATCTTTAAACTATCAAAAATAATGTTCAGAAAAATTATAGATAATAAAAAATGCAGAATTTTTTTGCTTATTTTACATAACTTAAAAATATCCGCAAAAAATTAAATTACCCTTTTTATGGTTTTTTTATTATAAGTATCGCAAAAAAAAATTTTTTTTCACTAAATTGATTGGTGAGAACTTGGTTTCATAAGTCTTAAACACGCTTATTTTTTTTATTCTAAATATTTATTTTTTCCTCATTTCATCATCATCATCAGCAGCCTATTAATGTCCCCACTGCTGGGGCACAGGCCTTCCCTATGGATGGAACAGGGAGATTGGGCCGTGACCCACCACGCGGGCCCAGTGCGGATTGGTGGGTGCTAACGACTGCAGATGCAACCGGGACCAACGGCTTAACGTGCCTTCCGAAGCACGGAGGAGCTCGAGATAGTAAATTTTTGGTCACCCATCCAATGACCGACCGCTGCGAAAGTTGCTTAATTTCAACGATCGCAGCCGAACGCGCTAACCAGAAGCGCCATCGAGCTCCTCTTCGTTTATTGATATAATAACGAAAAACTAACTTTTTTTTCAATCAAAAAAATTCCCGCCAAAAATGTTGATTTTTAAATTTGACGACCTCCGTGGCCGAGTGGTTTGTACGTTTGTATGGTGTCGCCGACTCGAGAGGTCCCGGGTTCGAATCCCGATGGGGGCAGATGTTTGTGTGATGAACACGAGCATTTGTACTCCAGTCATGGATGTTTAATATGTATTTCTATATAAATATACTTATATATATGTACAGTATATGTATTCTCTTCGTTACCCTAGTATCCCATAACACAAGCCTTATAGTGCTTACTTTGGGGCTAGGCTAATTGGTGTGTGTTTAAAAATAAATAAATAAATAAGTTTGTTGCGCATTGTGCTTTTTAGTACGAATTCTTTCTAATGAAAAAGAGATAAAATATACTTTACTATGAAACATTTTTACCCGGCTGCGCAATGCAAGAGCGCGAAGCGCGACGCGCAGACAGGGTTATGTGTTTAACAGTCTATGTATGTATGTTTGTTCCTTTGTTGCACACTAGAGACCTAACGCCTGCCCCACTAGCATGAGTAACAAAACGCGATATGATAAAGCGATTTACCGACACTCAACTGTCAAACTCCATTGTAGTTTGACAGTTAGTGTCGATAAATCGCTTTATCATATCGCGTTTTGTTAGTCATGCTAGGGGGGCTGGACCGATTTTGATGATAGTAATCAAAATTCAATATGGGCAACATTAGGCGCCATATGGTGACGAACTAGACGAGTCGATAATCAAATTTAGGTTCCTAACACCATTTTTCATTTTATATGATTGTTTAGGATCTACAACGCTTTAAAGTTGTATATCAACCACATACGCTTTTAATTTCAATCTTACGTTTGTATGGATCTTTGTTACTCTTTCACCTAAAAAATACTGAATGGATTTTAATGAAACTTAACAGTAATATAGCTCATATATGATAATTACATATATATAATAATTTATGTAGTTAATGAGTGAATTGACCAAAATATAACAATAAGTGTCACATAAGACGGAAAAAAATCTCCCATCTGCCATTTTGGCCTGCACTGCAAAAACAATAAAAGTTACATGAATGTAATGTAGAGTGAAAATGTATCTCTTAAATAGTTCTAAAAAAAAGTCCGTGACACCATATATCTATTTTTAATGTGTGATTCATTACCGCAAAAATAGTGAATCAAAACTAAAACATTATTTGATATCTATTTCCTAAATGCACATTTTGATTAACAAATCATTTTTTATCCAAACAAATACTTTTATCGCTTTTGATATTTAAAGACGATAAACTTTGCTTTTTACGCTATGTCATTTCGACAAATATTTAAAAAGTTACAACGACGACAAAATGATAGCGCGGTGTACTATGTAAAAGAAAAAAATGGGGTATTCGCAGTATCTGATCCTATACGAAGTACTAACAATAAAACTGTGATACAGTTCCTTCTTGTTAAATGATGAAAAATATATTATCATAATAGGTATTTATGATTATTGAATTTTAATGAAAAACTCAAAATTTTACTGTTTTTCATTTTTTTTAACGATATTACTTAATGTTACAAAAAAGGTTTACTTAATATAATGACAAATAACAGATTTTTCGCTAGTAAGTACATAAAAAAAAATTCAAAATTCAATATCATTTATTCAGTCTAGGCTGTTACAAGCACTTGTGAATGTCGAAAAGCTACGCCATCGGTTCGCAAATCTACGGCGGGAGACCTTGTACTGACATACTTATTGGAATCCCTGTATTTATTAATCAGCTCGCGATAATATTGGTTTTGTAATAATTCTGCAAAATTCAAAGTAAATAATGTAGATTTTTATAGGTAAATCACCCCTTTCATCACCCTACGCCAATAAGTATTGCGCTGTTGTAGCTAAGAACCAAGTTCCCATCTACTTCTATATGGCAATTCATTATATTCGATTTAGCTATTAAGGCACGGAAGCGCAACAAACAAATTCACTTTCGCATCTATAATATTATATTATACTTACTAGTGATCCACCCGGGCATTGTACGGGCGAAATTTATTTATCGGGATAAAATATAGCCTATGTCACTCGGACAAAATGTATTTAAATAAAGAAAAATGTTATAATAAATAACGTAGCTACCTTATGATGAATTAATATTTGAAACCGGTTCAGTAGTTTGACAGATTATTTGTTACAAACATACAAATGTTGCTTCTTTATAATATTACTTAGTGTAGATAGTTAGGATAAGATAAGTATTTAATTGATGAAAAAGATTTTAAAATAAAGTAAGTAATAGATTATATTTGTAAAAGTTACTTAGCATTTGTGCTTAACAGTGATAAGTAATTCGGTATTTTTTTAAACAATAAAAATTTGGAAAATAATTGCCATGATTGCACTACTGGGAGTACTCTTCATTCGAGCTTTACACTACCAATAAAAAAGGGTCGAAAAAAGTCTTTGACCTGTTAAATGTGAACGCTTTAAAATAAAACTACAAAGAGAACTATAAATTGATAATAAATGAGATTGCTATGGTGCTCTACCTAACTTTATGAAATTTTTATTATGCGCCTTTAGTTTAATCAAATATTATAAACTTTGCTTTGGTGATTGCATAATTATTTAATTTAGTGATCTAAGGCAATGAGGGCTACCGTTTTCTGTCTCACCAGATGGCGCCACTGTTGAGTGAGGTCCAGAATTGAAACTTTTAAAGTTTATTAATACGCACGTGAAATCAAAGTTTACATTTAAATCATATTTTAATACAAAAGAACCGTATCCGAAACATAATCGGCCATGCTCCAGTGATGCGCAGTTCCGTTTTGTTCGGAAAAAAGGAGGACATACTAATTTTTCTTAACTCCGCTTTTAAATAGCTGACATTCGTTGCCACGTAACTCATAT